CTCATACCTTGCTGCATATGTTACCTTGTGATTCGGAGCAAGCTTGTGCTTCGTTACGTACGAGACGCCTTGCAACAGCCGTTCTCAATGGTTACGAAGGGCATAAAGAAACCAGTCCATTCCAGAGATGGTGGTCGCTATGCAAAAGCTTACCCCGAATCACGCGGTAAAGCAACAGTGTCTTTAGTCTGGGGAATTCGAATCGTTATGTTTATGTGCAATCAGATAACTCAGTGTACCAGATTTTATTCAAATTTAATTCGCAAATGGCTTATTTGACCTGCATGTGCTGTCTTCAGTTCCACCTACCATGTTCACAGATCCACAATCCACAATCTTGCGAGCAACAGACATTCTAATGTTTCGTCACCGAGGTGCGCGTGCCAGACGGTCACACAACAATGATACACTCGAGCCGAGTCATTATTGCCTCGCTAAATTTATCCAAGATTGGCATGGTAATTTTCCGAAGTTAACTCATGTTGAACCATTGCAAAATTTGTTCGGGATGAGCTGATGTGCAGACAAAGTCGTCGAGTTGAATAATTGGGTCATTTGAGAATTTGATCCCGATCTGAGGTTACATTGGCCCATGAATTCCTCGGTGGTTTACACGTTCTTTGTCCCTTTCATGGACCTGTCTGTCTTTATTTACTTTCTGGCTTTCCATCAGTTTTGCTGCTTGAACTACATATAAACATTATTGCTGGGTTGGTTCGAATCTGAAATAAAACACTTCTCTTAAAAGTTAACGGCGCCCTCCGAAGGCAGCCCTTTACACTGCTGTCATTAAGTTGTTGGCATGGAATGTGCAAAAGCAGATCTTTTTTGAACAATTTAGAAAATAATTTCATCGTCTGTTCTAAAGGGATTGGCATGAGAAAGTAGTACCCTTTGTACACAGGATTAAATATCCCCAAGTTGATCTGGGCTTTTTGGAGGATAGCAATAAATATATTTTATAAAAAAAAATTTCGGAATTTTTAAAAGTGTTTTTATTATTATGATATTAGGTATCAGCGAGTGTGATAGCGCCCCTGCCAAATGCAGGTTTTCTATCCGCAATAAACTGCCCATTCCCACTATATACTTACGTAAGACACATGACACTGATAAGGACTTTAGCTAATATGATGTACTTTACTACGGCATATTGCGTCACCTCTGCAAAATGCAACGTGACACCACGACGCCGACGACACGATGGCTCCGTCGCTCTCCTTTGCAGGACGGAGATGACATGACGACACGACGCTATGGTGACAGCATAGTGCGTGTAACGCCTCATTCTTTGGACGGGTAAAAGTTTGTTTAATGCTTTTTAAAAAATTCATGTTTTCAAGGTCGATTTTACTAGATTGATAGTTGGCAAAAGTGTCCAAGCCGTCAAATTCCTCCACTGCAGTTGATCTTCCCCGGTGCCACTGTGACACTGTGGGTGTCATTTGACACTACTAAAGCCATATAGATAATAGTTTCTCCATCATAATTACTGCCGAAATTCAAGTTAAAAAACTAGCCAGGATTCTGTGTGTTGTAGCAGTCGAAAAAACGTATACAAGTAAGAAAAACTGGAAATAAATGTATGTATCTCTAAAAACAAATTTGTGGAAAAATAAATCTCATAAAAAGTTCTGGACCTGGCAAAACGACTTTTTCTCCAAGAATTAGAAACAACGTCTCTTTAATACATCTTGCAAAAACGAACTTTGGCCCAAAAAATGTACACCACTCTTTATAATCTATATACTTCATGGCACTTAAGGGCTTTTGGTTTGGTTGTGGTCTGAAGGCATAATAGGCCTATATTTATCCAGTGTGCCACACAAGGGAAGCAAACTTATCGACGCTTGGGTTAATAGTTACAACATATAGTTGGACGATTCTAACAATGATTAATTTGCCTTTGTTATTTTTGTTTATATTGCTTCAGTATAGAAGAATTGAAAAAAGACGTCAGCGTGCCATGTACTGAATTGCACTCATTGCCAGGAAACTAGACTACGTCGTTGGTCTAACGTCCTTGTAAACTGGAAACCTGTCCTCACTCTGTGGTTCAATGAAGATTTGCCAAAGTATGGTGGCCCTGAAGGGACAAAGAAATGCACAACTAGTCGCAAATAATTATTTTTGCGACATCGTGAATTTATTCACGATTTGTTGCGGATATTTTCACGATTAGACAACAGACCTAGCCGGCGCTCTGGAAGCCTATTTCGGACGGCTTTAAGAAAGCCTTTGCATGCCGGTCGGACGAATGTCGAACCCTTCAAACTAGGCTACTGGAAATGAGTAATCGTGACAAAGTTTGCGACCACAGTAGTAAATTTATTAATGACATGTCGTAAAAAATATTCACGACGTCACACAAATATTAACGAGCAGTCGTGAATAACTTCACGGTGTCGCAAATTTATTAGCGAATAGTCGTGAATAAATTCACGACGTCACACAAAAATTCAAGACTAGTCGTGAATTTCATGTCCCTTCAGGGTCACCGTACCAAGGACTATCATTTCCCCATGCAGTGGGTGTTAGGTCTGCCTCCCTGCATTCTGATTGGCTGGACTCAGACGTAAGCGTTGACACATTATGCCACTGAGTACATAACTACATGGATACCTGTTTTCAAACGAGCGTGAGTCATACCGGAGTTAATGCACAATGCGTAGAACTGGTGTCTGCTGATTCCTCTGAGCAAATATATGGCGCCGTTCAATGCGCTGACGTCGTACCCAGGCAAAGGGCCATAGAACTAGAGAATTAATCTAACATTAGGAACGGGTACTTAGCACCACCGTCAGCGCAGTGGCATATCATTCCGCCGCGACTAGACATCAGATAATAATCATGGCGTTGATGTGGCTCATTGTACGCACACTGTTTGCATCCATTTCCTTCTCACTAGGTAAGTTGCATAAGACCGTCTGGTTACAATAGATACTGTAGATCAGATCTAGAGTGAGGCATTTATATCTCGTTGTGAGATAGATGTGCGCGTTAAGTTATTTTTCCTCAACAAATACTGCTTCAAAGGTTCCTCAAACGATTTCGCGTTTTTACAGGACTCAGACCTGGGCATTCTAGTTCCCATTACAACCGGATTGCCTTTATTATTAATTGGTTCACATGCAATGAATATAAGTTGGAATGCGTGGAGATGAATGGATTTGAAACTGAACTGAATTCAAAAGAGGGGCAATATTGATGCCTTCTTCACTGTTCTCGAACATCACTTTCCGGCCTATCTCCACAGCCTACGCAGAAACCTGCTGGGGTCCAGGACTATCGTCCAAAACTTGTTTCGACGACTATTATTGCTGCCATGAATACACGTACGACTACGACTGTTGCTATGACTACTTCCAGTTGAGGTAAAAATACAAAGAAAAGAGAAAACCTATACACAAAGTATCTTCGAAGCTTCGAACATTACCGCATCCAGATACATGTTTATAACCGCAAGACAGACACCAAGAACAACTACAGAATTTCACTGTGTTTTACATTGAAAAAAAATCGTGCTATTGCATCCAGGGCCAGATTAACTGTACCGTATGTCCTAAGCACCGTGCCAGTAGTAGGCCTTCGTAGACCTTACTCCCGGCGGGGTACCCATTTGGGTGGGCTAAGGATTGAATTGCCCTCTCCCTAAGGCATGTTGCCAACGGCTTTGAAGGGACCCAAAGCAGCAGCTTCATATGATACTGATACTGTAATGGGGGTATGTAGAAAGATTGATTTACAGATAAAAAAAAACAATGAGCAGGAGTCTGTGCCTGCAATGCCCTGTCGTGGTGTTTGGTTTGAAAAACAATCTGCCTGCATTTCAGTTGATGTAGAATTATTCCTAATCGCTCCGGTCCTGTTTTGCTCGACTTATACAGTGTCGGCGCCATAGTTGGCATCGTCATCGGATCGCTGATTTTCCTCGGCATCATTATTGCTGTAATCGTCGCACTGTGCTGCTGTTGTTGTGCGGCTGCCAACTCTGGAAATAGAGGGCGCCCCACAACTGTAACCCATGTTCAGGGCGGTAGGTGTCCTACGTTAGGCCCCCTCCCAGGCCCTCAGTTGATCGAATCTGAAATATATTAACACAGTTAATTTTAGTATTTAGGTATGTTTCATGTCAAACATATGAAAATTTCAACACTGGATTTTGCTCTCAGGTTGCAAAAACTGTAACTCTTTGTCGCTTCATATATCAGTTTGTCAACATGGTCATAAATTATGGTTAGAGCATTGATGGATTTTGTTAGAAACTGGCCCGTAAATGTTTATAAAGTGACAGCCAGATTATAGTCAGTTACTGAGCACCGTTTTTACAGTGGTAGTGTGTCCAGCTACAGGTTTTAAGTCGAGATGTGGATTTATCTGAATTGAATAAGATTATTTTCCATCTTCCCTTCCAAGGAAAGATGCTGGTGTCATTAGCACTTTCAAATCCTAAAAAGGCAACTTTTCCTATGATATGCATTACAATAGTTTTTCTCCGATCTAAAGGGGTACCCATGACTACAACTGTTCAGTCCTACCCGCAAGGTCAGCAAGCCCAGCACGTTCAACAGTTCCCAGCTGGCCAACCTGCCTACAAAGGTCAGGAGCCGTACCCCGGACAGCTGCAGGCGTACCAAGGACAACAAGTTTATCCCGGTCAAAACTACCCACCGACCGCCTACGGCCAGCCCCCTGCCGGCCAGTACCCACCGTATTCAGCCCCGCCTGGCCAGAATCCACTGCCACCTCAAGCTGCTCCCGGAGTAGTGACCGGGGCTTTCCCGTCCGAACCCCCACCGCAGTATGAGGACCCGAAAGGCAATTAGCCAATGCATAACCCACTGATCTGCTCAGGTTTTCAAAGAAGACCCAGAGCCTGCACCGACCCCATCCAAAACCAACTTTAGTTGGCATCTCTTCGAATCCGAGTTGACATCTTTAAAGTCAGATAAAACCGAAATCAGTCATAAATACCTTATCAGTTCTACACAAATGAAAACATTACATGTATGCTATGGTGTGTTAGAAATAACACACTGTAATTAAAGTTACTGATCCAGCTCGTCTTTGGCCCACATCAATGAAGTTACAAGTCGGTCTTGGCCTGGTCCACCTGACCAGGTGTACCAGTCAATTTCTGACATGTGCCAACATTTCCAAGTGTAAGTTTAGTTTGTACCGTTCTTTTGCATTGCGCAACTCGTAACTGTTTGTTCTCAATTCTTTGTAGGCCTTTCAACTGCTGCAGCTGTTTTTGTCTCGTCGCAACTCAATTTGACATTCACGAGCAAAGGTTAGATAAACTTGTGTATAAAGAAACTACAGGTCATATTGACTGGAAGTCGGAATCCGGATTTGCTCTTTCCATAATTTCCCGTTAAAAAAACCTGTGTTTGTTTCTCAGAGGACTTTTCCCCTGCCGCTGATTTACATCCAGAAAAATGTATTTACCAGGATCATAGAGCAGATCTTGATCCAGATCCTAACGGTCGGTCGGATCCGGCAGTGCTTTAAAATTGCTGTAACTTGTCTATTGTATTTACCCAGATCTGAAATATCCAGTGCCCGAATTCTGAAATCTTCGTTACTTATACTTTATCAGATGATAAACTTTAATTATTTAAGCCATTTAATGGAAACTATACCAAAGGTGTTTTCTTGGGGATTTAGTCAGTATGAATTAGTAAAGAAATTCCAAGTGAACGATGTGTATTGTTTCATTTAAGTTCATTCTGACTAGCATTTTGCTCGACATTAGAGTTTATAAATATATTAAAAGTTCGTCAGACGTGTTTTTCTGGGTAGTTGCATGTTCCTGTATAGGTGGGTGCATTTTCCCAGACCTTCTGTTAGGCTTGGTTTGTACAAATTAATTTACTAAGTATCAATGCAATCTTAATTGTTTGAACTTCTTATTCTTAGTCTGGCCATATTATTATTCTTTTGTGTTTAATTAAAATCACCATTGCAGCCAAAACATTTGCATTTCACATTATACAAACAAATCACCTCAAATATATTAACACCAAAATAGACAAAGTTGTAAAACTATTAATACAGACAGAGATAAAAAGAAAATACTTAAAATTAGGTCCCATTCATGCGCCCAATCTCATGAATAGTACCACACTATCGATCGCGATGAACTGTTTTATATTGCTTTGCTCTGTATATATTTTGTTTTAAATGGGTTACTGTTTCTTAGTCCCATAGGTGTAATTTCAAGGTTATATGGAGGACAAAATTGGGAAGACTGAACAGGTGATTGATCGAACTTAAGATAAAGACTATTGCTTCTGTCACGTTTTTAGTTAGGCTTAACTTTCAAGCATCTTGCTAAGATTGTTACTGAAATGCTAATAATATACCCGCTTCTAAACCCTCTCAATTGAGTTTATCTGACATCGACAAACATATGTAAATCAAAGGGAACGTGTTGTCATAACGTAGTCCATACTGATAATCCCCCTTTTGACTGTATGTTTTTGTTCACATTTCCAACTGCCTGCGTGAGGACACCCAGCAACTTCACCAACTTCCCTATTATAGTTAATGTGTGAATTTCTTCTTGCTATTAAAATCAGCGATTATTAATTTTGGTTCCTGTACCATTAGCGACATTGAGTTTCGTTTTGGTGAGTCATTGATGCCAGGTGGCAATTCTTACAGGTTAATCATTAACGCCTTACAAATACAGCCGATTTAATCATTAATCCTAATAGAAGTTAATATTTTGCAAGGCAATAGTATCATTATACACTACGTAGAAACAACCAGCCACCATCAAAAGCGCCGTCAACGTCGACTCCACACCAGTTACCCTTACATTAGACGCCGGGGAGTTAAGCATCCATGACTCAAAGAAAATTACTTTCTCGCCAAAACATGCACGGGCATGGGTGAGAATAAGCTCCCATGTCAACAGGTCTACTGCATTCACCTTAGGACAGGTTGTACTCGAAACATCAAACCTTATCCTATCATCGTACTTGTACCTAGCTGTTTCCTGTACCATCGTTTCCTTAAAAAATGGACATATGTACACAAGAATTCCTCGTCTCCGTCTAAAGCTTTGTTGAAATGTGTTTTGAATGTGCTATTACCTGTTAATAGGCATTGTGTTTTCTCTTTACAAAGTTAAATAATAAACACATTTTAAAACTCTTATGTTTAAAAAAGAAAAATTGACAGAAAAAAAATTGAACAGAAAACCAAAGAACCGTAGTACCCAAGTGATTTTTCAGCCAAATGTCTTGTTGCTACAGTTTCTTTATATAAAAACTGTCTAAATACTCTGAAGGTTTATGTATCATATGAAATTTAAAATAAGTGTCTTTATTGTGTTGCTTTTTAAACAAAAAAGAAGCTCAAACCCTGATTTTTATAATAAAAAAATGTAACTAATTTTTCCTCAATTTGCATTTTACGTTAATAATTATTGATTATTTGTTCCATAGGCCTACATGTATCTCTACTAAAGGAAGTCTAGAAATCTTCGAAGAGATAACTTTCGTTCATTTAGATGGACGTACATGACAATGCTATAGATATTTGTCCCATTATACGCTGGTTATTTATGAGTGGTTGCATTATTCAGTGAATGGCAAACATAGCATGGTATGTACCATATTCAAGCTTTATTCAATTAGATATGCAGCCTTAGGTCTGGAGCTGAATTTACTTGTATACCCCAACTTTGAGTACTTAAGTTGCAGCAGCGTACAGCTATTAACCCTCTTGATCGCGCCGTAGTACTAATTGTCAAACGTTGTGCAGTGCGTGAGTGACCTTATTGTCATTCCTTCAGAACATCGCAACATAATCGCAGACAAAAATGTTTCCCATTTGTTTTCACAGCGGATAAACATCAGCCACGGGCAGTTCGAGGTTTAGCTAACGCTTACACTTGTGTCCAAGTGCACTGACGTCACTGGGATCACACTACCACCATGATCGTTCCCACACTTCTAGTGGTGCACACACTTACATGTACACAATGTACATGCCGTATTTTCTAAAACGGCGGGCTTCGTGATACACTCTTTGCTGATCGTCTTAACAACTCTGCCCTCGCTTTCGGCAGGTAACTATACACCTATTCTCCATATTTATCTCTGAAACGGGAAAGCCTGAATTTAGGTGTACTTTGATCTGAGACCAAATTTAATTGATATTGGCCCGTAATTCATGTTCCTACTAATGGATGCATTCAAAAGAGAGTGAAAGTGCATGCACAGCACATGTGGCTCAGCGTCTATGATGTCCCTGTAGACGCACTTAATACACTTTGAATCTTCCTTTGAATGCCAATGGTTTTATTATGTAAATAAACAAGACAATGTTATACAATGCCTGCATAAATCCCTACCATTTGATTGGTGAATTGTCGATCATTTGTCTGGCTGAATTATTAGTTCATTATTGTTTCCATTCGACAGAATAATTCAACATCAGTCATGTGATCAATCCACCAATCAGATGACGGGGATCATGATGCAGGTATTGTTTATTGCGAATGACGCACGCTGCGGCCGAAATCGCGTCCCGCAGTTGGCAAAATAGTTACAGTTAGTTTTTTTTTCTCGCCTTTACAACGCTGTGTTTATTCCTCCCTTTAAATATTTTAATTTTTCGGTGCATTGGGGCTGTGACAGTCCAAGTTTGGTGAGCATACGTATGGATTATGTAAACTGTCGCTCGTCATGACTTCGTACTAAAAGTTTTGCATTTGACTGGTTGTCAGGCACTTAAGTAACAAAAATTATACCAGATTGGCAAAATGAGACATTTTGAACACTTCCCTTTAAATCTGCTGACTTTTAGGTGTATACACAAGCAAGACCAACAACCAGACATGAAGCTGCTGTGTTGTCATGAATGTTGAATTTGGCTTCACAGAAANCCCAAACAAGGAACTGGAAGAGTGCTACACATCAATATGCTGAAATGAGAGCCAGTAGGGCAAAAAATCCACTGACTGAAACTGATACTTTCTTGAACAGTGTATTTGCAGCTGCTTATCCAGCGAAGAGTGGGGGAAGGGAAATGTTGCCAGTTTTTACAGGAATTAAAAACGCTTAAAATCTGCGAGACACCTTGCTGGAGGGGAGGGTCTCTTCTTCAGAGGAAAACAATGGCAAGCGTTTCAGAAAAACAAAGCATTTTGCCCCCGAACTCTCTCTTGCAACACCTGACTAGGTCACTGAGTATTCGGAGAATATTCTAAAACGTGGTCAGCTTTGCGCCTCCTCTGTAAAAACAGAATTTATAGTTCAAATACTCTTTGTATCATTTTTGTATTTCTTATCACGTGTAACCCACGACGTGATTATTGAAATGCGTTTTAGAATGTTTTGCTAAGTGGGTATCACAAAATTCAACGTGTACGATGGAAAAGCGTTTAGCATTTAACACATTCCTGAAGCCATTTAAGTGTAAATGTCTAAACATGTCGTTGGTGAAACATGTATATAAAGTGGTACAAAAAGGATTTTAGAAATGTGTTGAAACTCTAAGTGTGCTTTTTCAGCATGAAATCCTTTGCTCTTTGTTAGCATTATTTTCCCCTTCGTTGTTTTCTGATTGCCCAATCTGTCCGTTGGCAGTAAGCGAGCATCATTGTCAGGACTACTATGAGTTTGGTATGGAACGGAGGACGGCCTTTACTGCCCCAACACTGAGTACGACAGTAAGGATAACCTGACTTACTGCTGCCAAACCATTGTAGGAGAAAACTAATTCAAACGACTTCAGGTATTACAGCAGTTATAAAGGGTATATAGGGGTCCATTGGAATGGTGTTCCGTTGTAGGAACACGCCGTTCCTGCGAGAACGTTCCAAAAGTTCCGACTTGTATTTTGAGAACCTCCCTGACGCTGCTGACAAAAAGTATGAGGACTTAAATTTACTCCGTGTGAAAATCCAAAAGCTATGCGGTGTTGACCAAGCCTTCAGATGCCCGAACTCGTAAAATTCGCATTGAATCGCAGTTACCGGCTTCCATATAGGACTCTTCTGGGGTCTCGGGGTTCCCGGCCCACCACACTTCCTCCCTGCCCCTCTATGCAACCCAAAAAGGGTCGAGCGACCATGCAAGGGAGGAAACGAGACAGG